CAGCATCCCCACCTTCGCGGCAAGAGACAAGGAACAGCTTTAAGTTTTCCTTTCTTGTTCACTCCTATGACTGTGGAGGAGACAGCCCAGCCAAGGTGCGATTTTCTTTTTCTTTTTTTCTTTTTCACTGCCTATATATAAAGTCTGCACTGAATTAGTACAAGTTAAGTTTGTGAAATTTACCACCCAGATGCCTTAGGATGAGTCAGGGATTTAAGAGCCCAGCCCTGGTTCTTTCTCACCATGTATTTCATGTCGGCCGCGGGAGGGTTGACTTTGCCACGCCATTCGTTGTGGCCATCGAGGCAGTTGTTTATAAAGTTTGGGTCAGTGATGGATGGGATTTTGGTACTGGCTACCAAATACAGACCCAAGGTCCATAAACAACTGAATTTCTTCTTCAGAGCCATGGAAGGAGGTGGACGATACGCTGACTGCGCGGACCAGTAACGGCTGCGGCAACGATTTCCCCTCTCCGCCCCCCCCCCCCCCCCCCCACTCCACCGCACCACGATCTCCCTTGGCTCCATCCTCCCGCACAGGCTCGAGCCCAGCGCGGGGATGCCCAGCAGGCTGGATCTGCTTGTCAGTGTCGCTGTGGGGAGGAACAAGCAGCAGGGTTCGCCTTCCACAAAGCTCTGAGCTACAGGGGAAAGCTGTGAGTCGCCCTCTGGTGGAGGGAGTTTCAACCATCCAAACTGCTTTCTGTGGATCCAATCTGTAATCTGCAGAGCGCGCCTGGATTGTAATGCAGATTGCAATATGCAAGTCACACAAATTAGGTAAAGAACAAGTGCGGGATGCTGACAATGGGCCAGTGGAGTGCAAAGTACTATATATTACTTTTTTAGACGCAGCTTCCTTGTATAGATTTTTATTGTTCTAAATAATCTAGAATCATATTGCCACTTCCCTCAGAGATTGGAAATATAGTAAGAATAGGCAATTCTTATATAGTGACAATACCGTGATCTTAAATTATCAACTTGTCAAACAATTGATAATTTCCTTCTTTTTTCCGTCTGAAGAGACCGATTGCTTAGATAGATAAAAATAGATGCCTGGAAAACGTAGCCGAGTAATTTCTCTTGACAAATCTTCCGTTTTTGATAGTTTGGAACAGAGCCACTGTTTGGTGACTGGTAGACTCCAAGAGTTGCTTTAATTGATATGCTGAGACTGGGATGGACAGAGTACATTTGATTGTCTATTTTACCTGCAATGCAATATAAATCAACTTCATTTGGCTTAATGTTTTAAATTCATTACGTCACTTATATTGATATTCAGTAATAAACCAGCATTTTTCCCCATGACATTAATTTTTTTAGTATTTCTGTTTCAAATAAATATCTTTACTTAGTGATTCGAAGTTGTTTACAATGTCATTTAATTCAGGTGAACACATATTTACATCTGCTGAATGTTCTGCCATAGTCAACTTTGACACAAAAAACAAACTACTTTGATGCGGCTGTTATCTTTTTAAAAATAAAAAGAAAATTAGAATATAAAAAAAGAAAATTGCAAGGATCCTAATGGAAATTCTACTGGGCAATAGATAATATATTTCTAGTCTACTACCAGCTAATGAAGAATTGCTGTATATACTACTTTCTTATCACATACATAGTTCAAACTGAGCTTCTGATATCCCACACCCAAAGACATGAACATATGCACGTGTATGTGTATATGTTTGCGTGTAGGTATACAGATAGATAAATCGATACAGATATGTACACCTGCATGTGTCTATACATATAGGTCTCTTCCTGGATATACAGATGTCTATAGGCATATACTCATATACATATACACATATGTGTGTGTATATACACACATACATTTATATATGTAAAGTTCTCTATATAAATCTGTGTGTGTACACATATGTGTATATGTATGTATGCCTATGGACATATATACATCTACACACAGAGAGAGATACAGATGTCTATAGGCACATGTACATATACATATGTGTATATACAGAGAGAGAGAGAGAGAGAGAGAACTTTTAAAGACTTGGCTTCCGTTACTATGGGGGGCCACAATAAAAAATCTGAAGTCCTAGGTATGGCCCAAAAGACACTACATAATCTGACCATGGCTAGTTCTCTGGCCTCTTTCCTGCATTCTCTCCTGGCTTATTCTGCATGGGCCACATCCATCAGCTTGATAAGGATGCCCTCACCTCAGCTCCTTTGCACTTGCTGTTACTTTTGCCTGCAATGCTCTTTATAGAGTTCCCTTCAAGTGAAGTCTTCCCTGATCATTCTACATCTCCTATCTGTCACTGTCTATCCATTAACCTGTTTTAGTCTTCTTCATTGCATTAATTACCTCCTGAATTTATGTTATTTATTTTTTTAACATCTGCCTTCTCTATCAGGTTGTAACCTTCACCACCACAGTGGCTTTGTTTTCTTCATTGCTATATCTCTAGCACCTTGAACAGGAACTGAACCTTTAGACCCTCAATAAAAATTGGTTGAATAAACAAATGAGTTCTCTTTAACTTTCTAATAATGTGGTATACAACTGTAAGCTTCTTGAGAGCAGAAACTATATTTTAATTGTTATATATATGTATATATACATATGAGGGGCTCAATAAATATTTTTGACTTAATCGTATAAAAGGAAATACTGGGTAGGCTTATATATTTCACTTTTTCTAACATTGGGTTTATGTGAAGATAGAAGGTGTTCAGTGGATGTTTGTCAAATACATAAGTGGCTGAATGAACAAATAAATGCAAATATAAAGTAAAATATTTTCAAGTAGCAGGTACTCAGTGAATGTTGAATGCATTAATGAATGATCAAGTAAATGAAAATTTAAAGTTGAGCTTCAAATGCAAACTATTTTGGAACTGCAAAACAGGAAAGGTTGATAGGGATAAGGTTAATAAGGATAAAGGTTAACAGCTAGTTTAGTTTCATTTAGTGTATAGAGAAATTAACTGCCTATAACAACAACAGGAATTTCATAAAGTAATGGATTTAAAGATTGGCAAAAGTGGAGTATATATAGTCAAAACATAATCCAAGATTATTGCTCTTCTAATAGACGTTTATAACAAAATGTCTGAATTGTATACATTATGTTTTTTAGATCATGTTCCCAATGGCGTAGACAGCTATATTCAGAAATACTAAAACAATTTAGGTGTAAAAAGTCTAATTGCCAGGATTAGACTTTGTGCACATCCTAATGTTATTTTCTTGAACATCTGTTTGTGGAATGGACAAGTTTAGCTGGGGCACCAGAATTTTTAAGGTCTTTTATAACTTTTTAAAAGTTAAATTTAGTTTTCTGTTTTATTTTTATGTGTGTTTTCTGCTATTTATTTTTGCTTTTCTTTCTATGTGGGGGTAATTGGTGGATTAATTTTATGGAGTGCAGCAGAAAAATACAGAGTGATTACATTATACCTCATTTACGTCACTACTTTTATACTTTAAAAATTTATTTGTATTTTTACTCCCAAACTGGCTCCAGGAAATACTGGAAATATTCATGTTTTGATACATACATTTTGAGGGGAGATAATTTTGAAAAGTTACTGCAGATTAGAAAAACAGGATTATGAAAGAACTGGATTAACCTTCATAAACTCTTACTTCTAATTTGAATATCTGACTCTTGGCTGTGTAATTTAGGAAAGTTAGTGCATGTTAGAGTGGAGTAGAACCTTGGAATTATCTCAAACCAGCTTTTTCCCTTTATAGATGAGGAGTAGATGCCAAGCCACTGTATACAGAGCATACATAAAAATATTTGGGCCGGGCGTGGTGGTTCATCCCTGTAATCACAGCACTTTGGGAGGCTGAGGTCAGGAGTTCGAGACCAGCCTGGCCAACATGGTGAAACCCTGTCTATACTAAAAATACAAAAAATTAACCGGGTGTGGTGGCGGGCACATGTAATCCCAACTACTTGGGAGGCTGAGGCCGGAGAATCGCTTAAAGCTGGGAGGTGGAGGTTGCAGTGAGCCGAGATCGCGCCACCGCGCTCCAGCGTGGGCGACAGAGCCAGACTCCGTCTCAAAAAAAAAAAAAAAAAAAAAAATTGGCAAAGAATAAAATGTAGGTTTCTTGATATCTAGGCCTTTGCCCTTTCCATACATCATTTTAATTTTTAATTATATATACACACAAATACACATACATGTATATGCAGTTATTCATGTAATCATCTATATGTACATGGTCACACAAATTTAAAGTAATATCCAGTCTAATATCTATAATCTCTGTATAATATATTGCAGTCTTTTTTAAAAAAATAGTGCAAGCTCCTTGAGACAGATATTGCAGCATATGCTTAAATTTCTTCCCCTCAAAACATCATTCTGGGCCCTGCGCACAGACAGGTGCATTATGAAATATGCTAAATAAAATTCAATTAGACAAAGAATTACACAACAATCGCCGTGGATCCGGGCCGGGCTTTGGTCCTTTCCCTGCTCAGGAGAAGCGCAGGTGAGCGAGTCCGTTCCGGCTCCTCGCCGGGGTTTAGGGGTGCCGCGGAGCCAGTTCCCTGGGAAGCTCTGGCGGCTGCAGCAGAGATTTCACCCTTTTGGGTTTTCCAGCCAGCAAGTACTTCTCAGAGCGTGGCGGGGTCTTCGGCCACACGCTCAGTTCCGGTCAGCCAGACGCGGAACTGAGGAGGCAGATTGGCGGGGGCAGGAAGTGCCGTAGAACGTACAAGGGACTTGGGCCGACCACCTTTTCGTCCCTGGAGGTGAGAGTGTAATCAGAGGCCCTGCGCTGCGGCGCCAGTTGCCGGGCAACCTGCAGACTCAGGCCCGGACTGACCAGACTCTCCTGTCTGAAGCTTTCTGAAGGCGGTTTTTAAAGGAATCGCGCTAGTTATTTTCCCAGCCCTTCTAACTCTGAACCTCTTCTTACTGAGCTTGTTAGGTGAAATCAGGCTAGCTGTCTCTTGTGCCCCTCGCCTGTCCTGTGTAGGAATCCCAGATAGGTAGGGGATGGAGAATTCCTTCTGCTACACTGCAGGTGCTCTGAAGTATAATATAATTTGGGAGCCAGGGGAGTGATGTGGGTGAAAAAGGTGTTACTCTGTTTTGTTTGAAATTAGGAATGACCTAAGTTTGAATTCAGATATCTGGGTCTGTAGTCGTGTGGGATCCAACATAGACTTGGTCCCTACCTTCATGTAGCTTAAATACTAATTGTATTTACAGCTCTTTCTTTTTTCCTTATTTATGAGCTGAATTAAATCAGTTTATTTTTTTTTCACTTTTTTTCTGATTTGGTATAAGTAACATAATAGCCAGTAATACTACCAAGAGAGAAGGGATAATAATTGGAAGTGGAAATAGTCATCCTTAAAAAAAAAATGAGGGAAATGGGAAGTGTGTTCAGTTATTTTTGGTAGCGCTAAAGACATTAGCCAACAGTATTTATTATATGCTAGCAATATCACCCCATGACATGCAGCTATTTGGGGAAAGAAGCCATTTAGAAGTGCTATCCCTTCCTTTCTTTTGCTACTCCCTAGCTCCAATATAGCCCAGCTGGATATTCAGTGCTTAACGACAAAGACAACCCTTGGCATAGGTTTCAAAGATTTGCTCACAGCCAGTTGTTTGCTGATTCCTGTGCCACCAAGTTTAGATTTCTAATTCTTTAGTCCATACAGCTAATTCCCCTCGAATTCTTCTACTACCTGTACCAGTGAGGATGTAGTACTGAAAAGAGATCTGAAACCCAAGTAGTGAATTCGGGTCTGCAATAACTGGCAAACCATTTAGCAAAGTACAGTTCACTTTTCTGGGTCTCAGCTGGCTCGGTTTGAAAATCAGAAGGTTGAGCTGTTTTTGTCTTTGAAGCCCTGTCAAAATCTTAAAATCATCTACATAGGGTGTCAGTTGCCTGACTGCTCTAATTCTATAGATCCGGAAGTGTTCCATATATGACGGCATTGCCCTTTGAATACTCTTACTATATCTAAGTTAACCACCTTTGTGTTATGGCATTCTGAATTAACTGACTTTACTTATTTAAAAAACATTTGTTAAGTTCCTACTACATTGTGGGCTTTCTAAATCCTGAGACGTAGGGTGAGCAAATATGAGGCTTACAGTCTAGCATTAAGGACTAATAGTTATAATGCAATGCTTTAAACATCTTATCTAATTGAAGATAGAATTTATATGTTGGCCTTGTGATTATGTTACAGTTAGATGCAGAGAAATGAAAGGAATCTAAGAATATGTGTAAAATGTATACATATATTTTGCTATGCATTAATTTACTATTGACTAAATATTTACTACCTATGCTTTATTAAGGGCAGGAGACACGAACTTTCATGGTCTTGACAGTTTATTAGGGAAATGAAAATCTAATGACAGTGAAGAGTGAAGACTGTCCTGATTGGGGAAGTAGAGGAACTGGGGGTCCTGGACATTTGAGGATTTAAATGTTGCTGCTTTTTAAATTTGCAAATAAATTATACTGATTTGAAATGACCTATAGTGATTTGAAATAGCTATAACTGTTACTAGGATATAAACAATTGAGAGACTAATGTGTGGAGAAAATCACTTTGCTGATTGTTCAGCATCCTTATCTCAACTTGGGTTGGTTAGCGAGTAATCATCATTGCAAATACAATAATTTGTGTGATTAAACAACCAACCTAACCCTGGCCTCCAAAACAAAACAATAGCAACTTTTAAAAGTTGCTTCTTTGTGAAAAATAGTTCTGGAAAGAAAGCCATCTGTAGTGCTATAGGAGAATTTTTGAGTCTAATGATTTGTATTTTTTTCCCAGAATATGTTTACTATTGGTTGATAAGTCTTCTGACTTGACTTAGAGTGGAATTCTAGGCTTATGGCAAGGAATTTTTAGAGGAAGAGGCTCTAGGGATGGGGTGAAGAGAACCATATAGATAAGTTAGTTAGGAATTGGGATATCTTTCAGGTAAGATTTCATTGGCCATGAAATAAAAATATATTTTAATAATAATGATGGCTACCATTTATTGAATGTTACATTATTCTAACAGGAAAAGTACTAACATTAAATTCATTTTACCTATTATGTAGAAACATTGGTTCATAAAGATTTTTTACTCAAACTTAAATTATGTGAAAGTGGCAAAAATCAGGATTACAATGTATGTCTAATTCCAAGCTGGCAGGATGCCATGCTCTCTTTCCTTTAAAAAACAAAACAAATAATTTATTGTTAAAATAAATCCAAGACTATAGAAAAAGAAAGTATGAATAAATATCTAAATGTGAAATTATCCTTAGTAATATAAAGGTGAAATATAAAATATACAAAATTTCAATGAAATGTATTCATTTGATTTTTATTTTGTACATATTTGCAAATTGATTACTTTCAACATCCTTTTGTAAGCATTTTTACCAATCACCACGTTATTACTAATTGGACCATTTACTCCATTTTATTCTTTGTTCTAGATGAAGAATACTGCTTGTTAAAAGTATTTTCATCAGGCTACTCTGGCAAAACCGAAACTCATAAAGGTTTGGGAAATGAGTAAAGGAAATAAAGGTATATCTCATGGTGGTAGTACAGAAGAGGGAGATGCATTGGTTTTCTATTTTTGCTGTAAAAAAAATTTAAACTTACTGGTTTAAAACAACATAAATTTATTTTATAGTTGGAGGTCAGAAGTACAACATTAGTCTTAAGGGGCTAAAATCAGGCTGTCAACAGGGCAGGTTCTTTCTGGAAGCGCCAGAGGAAAATCCATTCCTTACCTCTTCTGCCTTCTGGAGGCTGCTCATGACCTCTTCCTCCACCTTCAGAACCAGAATGCTTGACATCTTCACCCCTCTCTGTCGTATGCTTCCATCCTTACATCTTCTCTGTTTCACTCTGTTCTTTCTGCTTCCCTCTTATAAGGATTCTGGTGGTTACACTGAGCCCACCAGAGAATCCAGGATAATCGCCCCATCTTAAAATTCTTAATTCAAACACATCTGAAGTCCTTTTTGTCATGTAAGGTGGTATATTTACAGGGTCTGAGCATTAAGACATGGCCTTCTTTGGGGGCCCATTATTCATGCTAACACAGGGCATAATGTGATTGCCCTACAAAAAGCTGATATTGGTAAAAGCACCAAAAGTGATTAACCATATGATTTTTTTTCCAGGTAAACTTGTTAGGTAATTTGTATGACTTATTTAAAATTAGAGTAAGAATTATCATTTAACATTTACTCTACCTTTTTCAAAGTATACTGCATGATAAATACAGGAACTTGAATGGATTTAGAGGTTAAAGGAGTTGCTGCCACTTCTAGGAGCCAAATTCAGCCATTCTTTGGAAGAAAGAAGCCACTACAAGTATGTGAACTATATAATTTTCTTCTTTCAGGATGACTTATTAAATAATTTTTTGACCTTTTCTTCGTGTTTTGTGATTACTTATATTTACAGATATTTAGGATCAGCATTTTCTAGATTTGAAGAATGGAACCACCAAAATTGAAAATAATAATTACTTGAAAATTTGCCACTGCTTGAATTAGTTTTATTTTTTAAAATTAAACTTATTGTATAATTATTGTTATTTAAGAGTATCTGTTTAAGGAAAATATAAAAAAAGACAAAAAGTAGAATGTAATTTTTACAGTTGCTGCCAATATCACAAAAAAAGCACAAGTCAGGTAACATTTCAGAAATAGGGTGTAAGTGCTGATGGGTGAATTATTTTCTATTTTTTTTTAACTTGAAGTTCTCCTAAGACTCATATATATCTTCTATTTCGTGGTGGCTAAGCTTGTTGTAATTTTCATGCTTTGCACAATATTTTTGGCAACAAGATGGAATGTTGACAAACACATGCATGTGTTTGTTACTTTCTTTCTCAAACCCTTCACTGTCTTCCCATTACCTTAAAAACCAGGTCCAAGTTCCCTAACTTGTGCTATAATGTAACAACTTGGCCCTACCCCCCTCACACTCTGGATTTTACCCCTTTCCAAATGCTGACTCTTATCTGGAGGCCTGTGCAACACAAGTTGTTTCCTAGCTGAATCAATTTTCTTTCTTCTCTTTTCATCTGGCTAACTCCTCCTTATCTTTCAGAACTCCTGTTAAAGGTTGCCTTAAGAAAAAAACAAAACAAAACAAACAAACAAAAATAAGCTTCCCAAATTCCCTAGAGTAGGTTGGGTATACTGCTATGTAGTTACTCTGTTACAGTCTGATTTTTCCCATTACTGTTTATTTGAGAGAAGGTCTCCAGCAGAGTGCTATGTGGGTGGGGATTATCTGTCTTGCTTGCCGTTTTATCTGTGTCTCAAGCACAGTAGGAAGGGGCTTAATACGCATTTATTATATGGCGTTTACTGAGAAAAAATATAATTAGCCTTATTGCATTGACTCATTGTATATCTCTTAAAGTATAAAGGGTATATTCATGTTCATACCGATTCAAAATTTTTTTTTTTAAATTAAAGCAAAGGTGGACTTCTGAATCATGGACAAACCGGAATTCTTGCCCACCAGTGTAAGTTACGTTTCTTCACATTTGGACTGTTTAATGGGCACATATTTATCATACATTGACTAATTAAAAAAGAAAGCAAAATTATATATGTAGCTATGATTGTGAACCACAGAAAAATCTATACACATATGGATAGCCTGAAAATTACTATACCAAAATTAAAATAGCTTTTGTGATAAGATGGTAGAATTATAGGTAATACTTCTTTGGTTTTTTTATTTTCCTTAATATGTTTTACATTTTCCTGAAAAAGTGAAAATATTATTTTATTTGGAAAATTCAACTATATGCATTTATTAAAGAGATATGTAAATGTTTATCCTTGTATAATTCATATAGTTGACATGAATTTAAGGATAATTATGTCTGTTTTAATTTTGAGGAATATGACAATTTTATCAATCTTAAAATTATTTTACTTTTGGTTTAGAATATATTAATTTGTATTTTATGTTATATGTTATTTTGACTTTTAAAATTTGAAATAATACGATTTTTCTATTCTTTCAAGTATTTTAGATTATAGAGGCTCTTTAAAAATACAAATTTAAAAACTTAGTAATTTCCTAGGCTAAACCAGAGAGTATTGACATTTCTGAAGATCAAAATGAATAAACATCAACATTTATGTGGTTCTGTGTGACAGATTACCTGTGTGCTCATCTTGACATAAAGAATAGAGTTAGGTGCAAGCACTAGATCCAAGATATTGAGTATGTAACAATGGCTGTGTTGTTTGTGTACAGAGAAAAGTTTAAGGACTGGTTTTCTGAAAGTGTATTATAAGTTTATTGTAAATTTTACTTGTTTATTATAAAGAAATTTAAGCATATATTAAGTTGATTGTAGCTTTTACTGATATAAAGGACATGTAGCAATCAATTTACAAATATTAATCAAATATATAGTCTCTCTTGTAGATTCCATAGAGCCAGTAGATTTTCACATAATTGTCTCTCTGTTTTTTTGCTGAACTCTGTATCTCTAGCTAACCTATGGTTGCAATTGATGAACCTGTGTAGTTCCAGCATGAATATTGGTTAATATTTTTATTTACTTTAAAAAGTGACATGAGTGATTTCTTTGCTGAGTCAAATAATAGTTTTGAATATAAAACCACATTTCTTCAGTGTGTTTTGAGGCTATTCACTGTGTGACAGGTATAGACATGATATAATTTTAGGTTGAATCTGCATTGTTAACATTTTTCTCCAACACTTGTTACAGTTTCAGAAATCAACCAAATATTAAACCAAGTCCTATTCATAGCATTTGCCAATTGCAGTGTAAATAATCCCACCAAGGCTGATTTCAGCGTACCTATATGACATCACTGAGCACAGAATTGGAAAGAGGTGCACACTATTAAACTACCATAGAGATAGGATAGACATAGATAATCTCTAGAGCACAGATAATAGCAAAGTACAGTGAAATCATCGGGAAGTGATGAATTTTGAGTATTTATTTTTAATATAACTTAATTGTAAATTTATATATATTTTTAATGATGGATGGGTTTAACAACCAGCTTGAAAAATTACTGAGCATTTAACAAAAGCCTATCACAAGCCAGTAGAAGCCACGGCACCATTGGTTTCAGTGTACCTGTTTATAAAAGATGTAACACATAAGATTTGCAGTTGTTAAAATTTCATGTTAAAAAGTTACGAGATACATAGATTATTTCTTTCAGGGTCCCACGACTTGATTTGGGAAGCCTTGTTGACTCTGATGATGAGGTAATTTTTATTTAGTATTTAATATAATAAACATTAAAACATAATATTACACATAGAATATAAGAAGTATCATTAATTTTATTTTTTAGGACAATTTTTCATATATTCCACTTAGTACAGCAAACCCGCCAAATTCATCTTCTACTCTTGGTTGGGTCACACCATGTCAAACTCCATATACTCAGCATCATCTAAATAAATTGGCTAGTATTTATTTGCTTATCAATTTTCAGAATTATAGTATGCATTATTAGCACTGAATTTAATCTCAATAAAATTAAAAAATTTTGTTATGTTCAATCGATGTTTTGCCAAGTTTAAATATTTTATGTGTTAGAATACCAAACCATAATGTTAGTGAAATGATTTTTTACTTGTTTTACATCTTGTCACACATTGAAATTGGTATTTTAAAATTTTTACATGAAATCAGTAAAGTACAGGTATATCCTAATATGGAATTGAGGAATTTTTTAAAATATGGCAAACTCTTAGATCAGATATTGCTAGTTTAGCAATGTAAGACTGGTCTCCTGGAAACTGATTCATACTTTAGGCTACTGGGATACTATGGAGTAAGTAGCTATGCTCATTCCAAGTTGTCTCCTTGGGACATGTTTATGCTTCAAACATATCTAGTGTTTTGTTCACAATGTGAATATAAATCCTGACTAGTATAGGAGTAGGGCTTTTCTGTTTTTGTTAGTCTTTTCATATAGCTGACTCTATTCATGTTCTTAGTTTCATTTTGGAAAACTGCATGAATAATATCCTGAAGCTTTGCTTCATCCTTCTCTGGGTTAGACATGGATATCCTCAACACTTTTCAAGGATTGGACTGGCTGTATAAAAAAGCTCCTTTTGGAGTGTCTGTCCCTCCCTGGGTCAATACAGTATGCCCTTGTATTTGTATAGCACTTCCTTTAGATTTCTCTTATCCACTGACTCCATTATCTCTCACTCCCATGGAAATATGGTAGGGAACCAAATAATATTTAGGTCACTGTTTTCTATTGGGAAAATAGAATGAAGTTTTCTGTAAGCACATGCTTTACTGAGTGGCAGCAAAATGGTTCAAAGTATTTTTTAAGTAAAACTTTTATTTCTTGAATGCAAATTCAAATGAGGACATTTGTTTACTTTTGGTTTAAGAGAAAAACAGATTTTATTTGCAAATGTTTCCATGTTTGCAAATAGATAGAATATCTTGATATTCTAGAAATGACAACCAATGCTCAGTATTAGTGATCTTCAATTGCTATGTCTATTATGAAAAGAAAGATTAACAGTGGAGTTCTTCTGAGGCAGAAGAAAAGCTTATCTAAAAATCCTAAGAAGAAAGATAAATCAATTTTTCTCCTCTTAAATGCTATTGGAACCAGAATGGATCTTCAGCTAGGAAACAAGGTACAAGCTTACTAGTATTTAAGGTAAGTGCCCATTCTTAGCAGTTCTGTCTGCTCTGATTGGTCAGTGATGCTGTCTATACCAGTTGAATGTCTTAAATACTATCTCTGCTTAGAACATTGACTATAATGGTCATTTTTAAGGAGTAAATGCTAAGATAAATGATAAACCTGTTAATTCCAATAAGGAAAATTAGTAATTTTTTTCTGACAGCATTCTTTTTTCTTTTTACCTGTAGGATCAGAACATGATACCTGAAAATTTGCCAGCACCAACAGAGAAATATAAACTAAAATATCAGCAATATAAAACGGAAATGAAAGAGGGCTATAAGCAGTATAGTCAGATAGATGCAGAGAATACAAACTCAAATGTTACACATCAACAGTCTCCAAGAAACAAGATAGATGAAAAGGTAATGTATGAGGCTTTAAAAAATTCTAATTAAATTTAAAGAAAACTGCATGTATTATAGAAATCTCTTTTTGGGTGACATGTCTTGCTATTAGTCATAATAAGTATAATAGCTAACATTTATTTCTGTTTATCAAGGACTGTTGTAAATATTTTAGTTATATTAGCTAGTTTGTTCTTCACAACAAATTTAACGGGTTATTGTAATCATTTTCTGACAAAAAAGTTATAGCCATATAGTTTAGTCACTTTTTCTCTGATAGAAGTTTTTCACGTACCTTGGGATTAGAAATAAGACAGTATTACGTATTTTGTTGATGTAGCTGTCTTGAACTCAGTTGGTCTGACAGTCTATATTTTAAAATTGATAAGTAGTTTGAGACTTTATAGTCTGTTTTGTGCAAAAACTACCATCACTTCATTACTGTCTTTTGTCACATTATGGGAAATGGTTTTTTAACATCATGAATTGCTGAAATTGTTATGTTTTTATGTAATATTAATTGGGTATAAATTCATTATTAATGAATATAATAATAAACATAATAATTGTAATGGCTTTCATAATCATACATAAAAAGTCAGTCTTGATTTTTGGAAGGAATAATTTGAAAAATAGGATACTAGTGGCCATAAAGAAGAGAATATATAGATAGAATTTTTAATTCAGTTAACTTTTTGTAAGAATAATGTGTTTTCAGGATGGTTTTAATGTTGTATTTGCTTAGCATTTTTCTGTAGCTAAAAAATAATAAATTTATAAGTAGGTATGACATGTCAACTATTTTTTAACCCGGTAGAAACTATCTAGAATTAAATAAATTACATAGTGTTTAGCTGAAAGAGTAACAAAATTAATGGGATTATTTAGTCTTTCTTATTTTAAAAACATTTTTGTAGACCCAAATATAAACACAGAAATATGATAATCTGGTGTCTATAATACTAGGCAAGATAATTTCATAACCTTTTAGCGTCTCACCATGTATTGTTTGCAGGATATACAGAGTGATATTTAGATTACTGTATAGATACTGGGAAAACAGAATGAAGGTTTCTGTAAGCACATGCTTTACTGAATGGCAGGAAAATGGTTCAAAATGTTTTTTAAGTAAAACTTTTATTTCCTTGAGTGCAAATTCAAATGAGGACTTCTTTTATTTTTGGTTTAAGAGAAAAACAAATTTTATTTGCAGATTTTCCATAAAATTGGTAAGTATTTATATAGTAAGAATAAAGAGTTTTATAGAAGCCAATATGCACCTACATTCTTCTGGAAAATATGCTGTTTTGCTGCTTTGATTTTTAGAATCTATATTAAAGGTGTGAAATTATTAAGTTTAATATGTTTTTAGTGGTTCCTTTAGAAGAACTTCTAGTTAAAAAGCATTTCTGTAGATTCTGTATAATAATTTTGTGCTTAAGGGGTTTGAGGAACTTATTTGATGTCTTTTTAAATTATACCATTATGAGAATCAAAACTGCTATATAAGTGGCCTATTAGTAAATTCTATTACAATTATATGAATTAACACTAGTAATCTCTGGAAATAGAAGACATCCCTGATATCAGAAATATAAGCCCCTCTTTAAAGGAGGGATCAACATGTAAATTGATTCTCTTTACTGGTAAAGCAAAGCTAAGATTAGAAATATTTAGGATCCAAGGCAATCACTAAAGGCTATAGTTGCTAACTAATCAGTCTGATACATGAGTCAACTGATAATCAGTTGAACTGTAAAATAGAAGTTTGACTTTGCTTGATTCTTGTCTTAGTGCATTTTGTGTTGCTGTAAAGAAATACCTGAGGCTGGGTAATTTATGAAGAAAGAAGGGTTTATTTGGCTTCATGAGTCTGTTGGCTAGAAAGCTGAAGACTGTGCACCTGTTAAGAGCTTCAGGTTGCTTCTACTCATGGCGGAAGGTGAAGGGAAGCCAGCATGTGCAGAGATCACTTAGCAAGATAGGAGACAAGAGAGCACGTGGAGGTGCCAGGTTCTTTTGAACAACCAGCACTCTTGGGAAATAATAAAATGAAAACTCACTCACCTCCAAGGGACAACACTGATCATGAGAGATCAACCTCCATGACCCAAACACCATTCCGACATTGGGGATGAAATTTCAACATGAGGTTTAGAGGGGACAAACATCCAAACCATGGCAATTCTAATGGTAAATTTCCTTTGTTGAGTTTTCCTTCCACTTACTATAAAAGCTGATGAATCTCTTGTTATCAGATTGTTTTGTTACCTAAAATGCAAATTTATGTGTACATGTCTATTTTTAAAATAATGAAACATCTTGAAATTAAACATGAAAATCATTAAACTTCAATTTTGTTGAAAATAATCTTAATTTCCTAATTGTACTTATTATTCATTTCAAATATCTCTTTCTTCACTCTAAAGAAACCTTTTTAATTGTATAAATGATCAATATAATTTATTCATTTATTATTTATTCTTTCAACAAATAGTTGCTGAGTGCTTAACTTTACGCAATACCCCTGTCCAGGCACTGGGGGTAAGTCAGTGAATAAAACAGACAAAAATTTCTGCCTCTAAAGAGCTTATATCCTAATGGAAGGAAATGGCAAGGAGAAAAAAAAAAAAATCAGTCAATGGAATGATTAATCGGTCAACCCAGCTAGTATGACACACGTGAAAAGTGTGGTGTATAGAAGGGATCTAGGAAAGTCAGGGCTTTGGGTATGGGATAGCAATTTGTATAGGATCACAGGGGAGACCTTTAGATAAGATAGCATTTTAGCACACACCTGAGGAGCAAGCTAGTCAGGAGAAACTCTGTGTCATGAGTAGGGGTGTTTAAGAAATATTGATGAGGACAGTGTGGTCAGAAGAGGGAGAACAAGGGAGAGATGGAAGAAGGTTGGTCAGAGAGTTAAAGGGAGTTTGGGAGGCAGCTCAGGGAGGTCACACAAGCCATGTAAGGACTTTGTCTTTTTCTGTGAGGCAGAAAGCTACTTTGTTCTTTTGAGGATGGTCTTTATTGAGAATAGGACAAAGATGAAAGCAGGAAGACCTTTGAGGAGGCTGTCACAATAATCGAGGCAAAATTTGATGATGATGGCTTGGACCTAGGTGATGGTAGCTTCAGACTTGGAACCTTGTAGTGTCTCACAAAGTCATGTTGTTGATAGATTCTGAAGGTAGGGCTAAGAAGATTTTTGAATGGATTAATTGTAGACTTGAGAGAAAGGGAAGACCAAGAATGACTTTACGAGGATTAATTTCAGGACATTAAACCAGGCACAGAAAGACAAATACTCTATGTTTTCACTTATATGTGGACTCTAAAAAAGTTGAACCCACAGAAGCAGAGAGTAGAATATTGGTTGCCAAGGACTTGGGGGGAGGGGTTGGGAAAATGAGGACTTGGTCAACGGATATGAACTTTCAGTTATATGATAAATAAGTTCTGAGGAACTACTGTGTTTGTGGTGATTACAGTTAATCATACTATATTTTTTTCCTAGACATTTGATAAGAAAGTGGATTTTAAGTGTCTTAACGACACACACATACATATACGCAGACAAATACAAATGGTAACTATGTGTGGTGATGGATGTATTAATTAATTTGATTGTGATAATCATTACATTATCTATCTGTATATCAAATCATCATATTGTACACACTGTATATTTACAATTTTTATTGTCAATTAAATATTTTAAAATAAAAAAAGAATGGATCTAAGGCTTTTGGCCTAAGAGGGTTACCATTAACTGGAGGTAGGGGAAGACTGTAAAGGAGTCTGCTTTTGGGAGGTTAAATTTGAAATATTAAGTGGAAATATCAGTTTTCCTTTTGTAAAAGGTTGAAAACAAGCTGACACAAAATAAAATTATTTCGAAAGTGTTTTCAACCTGAACAAAATACAGTGCTTTGCTTACACTTGAATATATGCATTAAATTAATCTGCTTAATTTACCTATATAATGCTAAGCATTTTTTGGTGCCTGTTTAAATAAATCACTATTTAGAAAGAAGTATATTAGTGGGTAAACAAAATGATAAAGTATCCTCATAAATTGAGTTTTAAATAGTAAATACCTAAGCTAGGTTCATTATTCGTTTATTGAATAAATATTTATCGAGTGCTCACGTTGTATTATCCTGTTCTGCAACCAGGGATATGGCAATAAAAATGACAGACAAGGTTTCTGCTTTCATGGAACTTACATTAGGAGAGGCAAGCAATAAAGCCTAAACAAATATATAACAAAATTTTATACAGCAATCAAAGGTCATAAAGACAGAGAGGAGTATTAAGGTAGAGTATGACCTTTCAAGGAAGATCTAAAGTAAGAATAAGCCCTGGGAGGAAGAAATCTTGAAATCTGTAAAGGTTTTGGCAAGTTGCTATCTTATTGGAACCTTTTTTTTTGTTTTGCTGAGGTAGCATAAACACATCTCATAGTCAAAGAACAATTTGATGTTTATCTCTTTAGCATCCCAAATAATCTTTTACCTCGAAGATTACACTCATCTTTTAGTATTTTATTTCTGAATTAAGTTTTATAATGGAGTAGACATGCCCACATTTATTAATTTTTCAAAGATTCAAATTGGGCAATAATAATTATAATAGTTGCTAACTTTTATGTAATGCCTACTGTGTCAAGTAGTTTTTATAAAGTGTTGGGTATGTATTATCTCTTAATCCTTTTTGTTTCTAGTGAAGTAATTTCTATTATTAATTCACATTTTATCTATGAGTAAACTGAGACACAGAGAGGTCATCTAGCTGGCAACTGGAAGAGCTGGATTCAAATATAAGCAATCTGATTTTCAGAGCCTGTACTTTTAACTGCTGTACAAATAGTCACTGAGATATTCCGTGGTTATCTATTCCCATATTTTGTTAAAAACAAACATTCTAAATATGTGTATGATGCTTCATTTATTTCTTTCATGCATAGTGCGTGCAGCATAAAGAAGCCAACACAGATGACCTTACAACTCTGGATAGGAAAGCCCTCTTACAGCAAGGTTATGCGGACAACCCTTGCGATAAACAACAGAGGGCAAGAAAATTGGATGCAGTAAGTTGTCAGCATTTTTACTTATTTGGTGAGCCATTAATCTAATTTGCTTTCTAAGATTTTAAAGACTGAATGGAATAAATAATTGCAACAATTGAATTTGGACTCAGGTGAATATTCATTAATGGAAAATTGAGTCCTCGTTTTTATAAATGATTGAATTGTGTTTGGTATATATTCTGTAGAAAATTGTCTTGAGTCTTTAGGTGTTTGAAACATTTATTTTATACTGTTCAAAATGTGAGTTGGCTGCTATTTATGTTAGTGAGTTTATTTGGTGTCACCTCCTCACCCCCGAAAAGCAACCTGGTTATTTTTTTTGAAGTAGTGAGCTACTAACACTAGATACATTCAGGCTAGTTAAGGAAATTCCAGAAATAAGTTATTTTTCTTTTTTAGGAAAAGTGAAACAAAACTCCAGATGCTCAATATTAACTTTCAATTATGTCTTTTACAGAATCAATTAGGTTGGCAAGTATGGTTTAGCCCAGTTCTGGCACAAATAGATAATTAAAACATTTCTGTAATGTTCTAGGGTAAAGGTACCAAGCTGCTTGGAACTGGAGGTCACTGACCACCTCAGACACCCAAATGATTAATGTCTTAGGCATACTTATAACAGATTGTTGGAATGCCAGTGTGGTGGCTCACAAGTTGGGAAAAGTCTGGTTTTGATAGCATAAATAGTAACAAAGCAATATGGATTTAGTTAGTTACATTACTATTATCATTGAGTGGAGATTCAACATATGTTTTATTTGGGTCACAGTCATCCAGAATCAATTATGTCTGAATTAATAGCAATATATAATCAATCTCTGGACTATGTGAACTGATTTTCTGTGGATGTCCTAAGTTGCAAATTTGTGAGTTCTTTTACTTAAACCACATGCACATTTTTTTCTTCTTGGTGCCTATTATTATTTGGGTATTTATGTTTAATAGAATGAATATTATTAGGATTATCCTAAAAATTAAAAAATGCTAATTTTTAAGGAAAAATAGTGTTTCACATAAGGCTTATTTTGATATATCCCTGAAGTTATATTTGAAATGGGTGTTACAATTATTAAGGCTCATTGAATATTGTTCTTGATGTAATTCAAAGCAATCTGGATGTTAGTGGATTTCTTTTCCTTACAACTACATTATTAGGAGCAATGTATCTAAATTCATTATCAAGTTTTATTTTATTTTGGTAGTACTCATTTAACTGTCTCCTCCTTCCTCTGAGGAAACGTTTACATGAGTAAGCTTTCAAGGCATCTGAAATTAGCACCAATTTGTTTTAAAAATGTAGGTGAAAACGTCTTTATTTAATTTTACACCTCTTAAGTGAAAATAGAAGCAATGAAACTACGTTTTTTGTGTCCACCTCATCCAGCTCCTTTTTCATTTTTTAGTGTTGATAGATCCTTGCATCAGTGTCACTTCTGCTTCTAATCTGCTTTATGTTTATACAGATCTCTAAATCAGTGTGCCTATGGGTTCTAACCTTTCCTACAAAGTATAAGCCACTATAAGCTTCAACACTCAAGTGGGGTTTCTGCATGGGCTCTATGGTGTTAATTAATCTCCCCTCTTTGGCTTCTATCTGGGTTTTACATCTGTAAACACATCTGTGTTTGGCTGATGTGGATCTTTTCTGTGTATAATTTTAATGTTTTAGTCAGTGTCCACTTTATGAATCACTCTTTGATATTAAAAAATATACCTTGCTTTACTTTTAGGTTGTGCTAATTTTTAAACATTTATTTGCTGTTTTAAATTTATTACTAAATAAAAATCTTATAAAGCATCATGAGCTTAGAGAGTGACACAAGATGCATTAAATAACGTAAGCTTTATGTGGGACATATTAAATGTGTAAACTATGCATTTTGAATTTCTACCAAACAAAAATACTAAATTTAGTGTAGGCTAAATAACATTTAAATAATGTTGAATAATAATAATGTTTAATAATAATTTAGGCTAAATAAAAGTGTTATTTAGCCTACATTTAAGTTTAGTTTTAACATTCTTACTAAAATTCTTATTAAATTTTGTTTTAACATTATTATTAAAACTAAATTTAAGGCTGGCCATGGTGGCTTATACCTATAATCCCAGCACTTTGAGAGGCTGAGGCTGGGGGATCACTTGAGACGGGGAGTTCGAGACCAGGCTGACCAACATGGTGAAACCCCATCTCTACTAAAAATATAAAAGTTAGCCAGCCGTGGTGGCATACACCTGTAGTCCCAGTTACTCGGGAGGCTGAGGCATGAGAATCGCTTGAATTTAGGAGGCAGAGGTTGCAGTGAGCCATGGTAGTGCCACTGCACTCCAGCCTGGGCAACATAGCAAGACCCTGTCTCAAAAAAAAAAAAGCCCAAAAAAACTAAATTTAGTGTAGGCTAAATAGCATTTAAATAATTGTGCCCAACTTTTCCAATTTTCTTACAAGTTTTACTTTTTGTTTCTATGATATGTCTTTAGACATTCTTATTTTGTATTTTGTCTCAGTTTTAAATAAAGCACTTTTTCTAAGGTTACAAAGCATCTATCTTAATTTCATTTATTGGAGTGATCAATGGGGATGACAGTAATTTACATTCTAAAAACAGAACAAGCTTTATTTTGACTTCTTAATTTTTTAACCTCTTTTATTTGCCCCTCTAAAGGTAAATTTTAGTCATTATAGCTGCATGACAATATAATTGGAATTGAATGATTACCAATATTTCAATTAGATATGACCTACAAAAATCATAGAAATAGTTTCAGATGAATTGGAAAAGTGAAAAATAGTATGAAGTGGGGGGCGCCCAAGATGGCCAAATAGGAACAGCTCCAGCCTCCAGCTCCCAGCACGAGTGACACAGAAGATGGGTGATTTTTGCATTTTCAACTGAGGTACCAGGTTCATCTCACTGGGGCATGTCGGACAGTCGGTGCTGGTCAGTGGGTGCAGCCTAACCAGCGAGAGCTGAAGCAGGGCAAGGCATCGCCTCACCTGGGAAGTGCAAGGGGGAAGGGAATTCCTTTTCCTAGCCAAGGGAAACTGAGAAACACAACACCTGGAAAATCGGGTAACTCCCACCCTAATACTGTACTTTACCAAGGGTCTTAGCAAAAGGCACACCAGGAGATTATATCCCATGCCTGGCCTGGAGGGTCCCATGCCCATTGAGCCTCCCTCATTGCTAGCACAGCAGTCTGAGATCTAACTGCAAGGCAGCAGCAAGGCTGGGGGAGGGGCGCCTGCCATTGCTGAGGCTTAAGTAGGTAAACAAAGCCACTGGGAAGCTTGAACTGGGTGGAGCCCATTGCAGCTCAAGGAGGCCTGCCTGCTTCTGTAGACTCCACCTCGGGGGACAGGGCATAGCTAAACAAAAAGCAGCAGAAACCTCTGCAGATGTAAATGTTCCTGTCTGAGAGCTTTGAAGAGAGCAGTGGTTCTCCCAGCATGGAGGTGGAGATCTGAGAATGGACAGACTGCCTGCTCAAGTGGGTCCCTGACCCCTGAGTAGCCTAACTGGGAGACATCCCCCACTAGGTGCAGACTGACACCTCACACCTCACACG